CGTCTAAAAATATTTCAGTTATATAAAGAAGTAAAAAACTCCAAAGGCGAGTGCTATATTTGGGAAGGACAAATGTGAACTATCAACATGTTTACCGTTCAGTGAAGCTAATCCTATAAAAAAAACTGTACAAGTCAACAAGTGATGAGAATAAATTTTCTCAGGAGTGCACTTTCATTTTGCTAAAATCCATTCATGATCCTAAACAATCTACCAAAATCATTATTTCAACAAGTTTCCTTCAATATATCAATTGAAGACATGAGAATGATAAGTGGATAACAACCACTTTTGGTGAAATTCACTTTTTGTCCGATTTTCTTTGATAAAAAATCGCTCTATCATTGGGTATGAAAAGGAATCATGTAACCTTGCCCCATTCGCCAGGAGATGGCAGGAAGAGTTATCCGCTTTTAAATCTGGACTGACCATTACAATGCCCGTTGCCTTGAGAAGCGGATAACCTTTCGGACGAATTGAAATACTCAAAAGAAAAAGAGAATACCTTTTCATTCCAGAAGAATGATGTTCACTTGTTGCAAATGCGTAAAAAAAATTCAGGTAGTTAATGTAGGTAACTCAAGCAATGGTCAAGAACAATAAAGAAACAATAGATGACTATTTTAAGAAGTGTTTCCGAAATAGAGATGGAGCATTTAAAATCTCAAAATATAAAAGATTCAAGTATACTGGGGATAAGATAACAGTTTCAGAAAATCAAAACTGTATAGCAAGTCAAACATTCGCCAAAAATTGAGAATCCAATACCACTCAATCCAAAAAAATTACAGAATATCATCGACTTGAGAAAGTATATTCCATCAGCATACCAGGATTGGTATGACAATATACCGAGGGGTAAATCACTGGGGCAGTCCGGTGTACATTCTTTTGGCAGTCCGGTGGCAGTCCGTGGCAGTCCGGTGGCAGTCCGGTGGCAGTCCGTGGCAGTCCGGTGGCAGTCCGTGGCAGTCCGGTGGCAGTCCGTGGCAGTCCGGTGGCAGTCCGTGGCAGTCCTTGGCAGTCCGGTGGCAGTCCGGTGGTAGTCCGGTGGTAGTCTGGTGGTCTCTCGTCTCTTCTCTCGTAATCCGACAATTATTCTAAATTTGAAAATTCAAGAGGGCGTTCGCAAGGTGGCGGCGACTTTGTTATTTATTCTCTGATTAACCAGAAAATGTACACGTAGGGGTTCTCGAGATTGGCAATTTCGAATTCCGAGTCCAAATTTTGAAAAACAAGATGGCTTCTGTAGGGAGGCGTCAGTTTTTTTCATCTCTTGGAGCGCACGAAAGGTAATTCCTATAATGGGGAAAAGAAATCAGATATTCTTGGAGTATATAATCATGATTTTCGAGTTAGTTTTGAAATTCTAGATGGCGTCTACAATGGGACGGAAAACTTTGTCATTTATTGTCCGAATCGCCTGAATAAAAAAAGTTCACCTTGGGGATCTCAAGCTCCAGAGTTGAAACCCACGCAAATTTTGTGTATTATGGACTGCAATTGCGCGCAGCGGTCAGTATTCTCAACAGTGTGTCCAAATCTCGGTCCTAATCCTCGTCCTTATCCCATAGTGCAATTGCACGCACGGCCCAAAAAGGTTATGCTGTAATTGCGCGCAAAGTAGGGAACATATAAAACGGTAGTTTAATCAAGTTTCATATGTTTTGAACTCATTCCAGGACATAAAATATAATCATTTCCGAAAAAGGAAGGAGACTTTTTTTTGCAAACAACCTAACCTAACTCGGCATGATATATAATATGAGGAAGAAAAATATTCTTTCTGCATAAGAAGGGAGACTAATTTTTCTAAACAATCTAACCTAGCTCGACCTAATATATAGATAATATATATGAAGAAGGAGAATATTCTTTCTGCATAAGAGAGGATACTACTTTTCATTAACAATTTTGTATTTATACTGTATTTAACCAATAAGAATTCACAAAATTTCAATAAGTAAATAGATCTCGGAGCAGTACCTGTTTAAGAATTTGTTTATCTATACCTGCCTTAATCCTTGTACATATCTGATTCACCATATATGTATCGACCTGTAACTCAAGTATTTCTGGAATGTTTTCAAAATTTGAAAAACCGTATAAATTAATTGTCAACGATATTTTTCACGTGTTATAAAAGCTTACCCAATTACATCAGGAAAGAATATTTGTGGTCACACTGTATACTCTTGACAATAATTTTCAGGTATAAGAATCACGAATTTACGATAAAGGTCAAATTTTCTGAAAATGTACAACGAGGATTTTTTTGGGTAGTGCGTTACGATTTATAGGTGAACAGGGTGAACCAATACTGTGGGAGAGTGAGATAACGGCTTTGCTGATTGAGATCGATAAACAAGAAATTTTGAGATGGTGTACATTTATAAAATATTTTGCGTTATACAGGGCGATTCTGAAATGAGTGGCGTATCAAAGTTATACTTTTTCTCATGGGACACCCTGATGTGAAAATGCATTGAAATTGAAATCGTCCGCCATCTTATGGGACGCCATCTTGAATTCTCAAATGCGACTCAAAATGCGTATTTTTCAACCACGATTTTTTGACAAATTGATAAGGAAATGACAAAATCGTTTGAATTTGAATATTCAACTCGGAATTCTGATATCTCAAACTTTAAACACCCATAGTTTTCATTTGGGGCATTTTGGGGCGAATCTGAAATCCTCAAATACAATTCAAAATTCGTATTTATCGGGATATTCACGAACCAAGACAAATCCTGATTTGACCTTCCAAACGGAATGAACGAAATAAGTATATCAATTTTAAAATTTTTACTCAAAATTCGTATTGTTCAACCTCGAAAATTTTGTGCTGAACATTTTCAGGCGAATCGACAGAAAAATAAAAACATCGGATTTCTGTACGATTTACGTGTATTTCCACTTCACCTATTGCACCTCAAAAAATATCTTCATTTCATGTAGATTTAACGAGATATGTTATGTTATATACAGGAATGTTATAGTTTCCGGATCAGTTTCTTATGCCATAGGTTTCCAATGAGATCTTCACATCGTAGGTCACGGTTGATGATTTATTTCTTCTATGTTAATCACCATCGGGGATGCCTTTCTAGTACTTATTCAGTCAGAACGGTTTTCGTGAACTTTGTTCTTGTGGTGAATTGAAATTTCCAAAAAACAGCTTTATTTTTATTGGAACACATAATTGAGTGATAGTCCATTACATTTCGGTGGCAGTCCGTGGCAGTCCGGTGGCAGTCCGTGGCAGTCCGGTGGCAGTCCGTGGCAGTCCGTGGCAGTCCGGTGGCAGTCCGTGGCAGTCCGGTGGCAGTCTTGGCAGTCCGAGTATGGATGGCAGTCCGGTGTACACGAATTTGCTCAGTGATTTACCCTCGCAATATACCCACTAGTTGACAGTAGACATACCAGATGAGTCAGATTCTGGTGATTCAGAGGTGGAATGAGTTGTTTTTTTTTGAGTTTCAATTTGAACCAGTTGTCTTTTTATGTAATGTTCTACTAATGAACTGAGTTTTTGTATTCAGAATGCATTATTTTCCCCTTTTCAGCAAAATGAGAATGAGAAGTGGATAAGTGAACAACTGTTTTTTCAAAATTTTCATATTATTTTCGACTTTTTTTCAATTTCTCCTTCTTCAATTGTGTTCAGTGAAATGGGCAGTGTTTTTTTCACTGCTTATATCAACATATATCATACTCAACCCATGTAATGAAAATATTAATTTCAACATCTTTGTCAGTATAAAAACCATGTGTAGTGCAGAAATAAATCAGAATATGTGAAAAATTTAAGAAAATCTAAGAATGAATTCCAGTTCAATTTCTCAAATAATGAATTGAATGGTCAAGCATTTCAACATTTTGCAAAATGAATTCACATGGTAAAACATAAATGGATCATAGAAAAGATTTTAGCATAATCTGGTGCACTGTCAAGGAATAGGAACAGATAACATTTGATTACCATAACTTGTATAAATACATCCAAAAGTCAACCATATGTGCATTAATATAAAACCAGTTCCCAGAATCTCTTGGAGATGCTAGCAACAATTGGAAATATCAACATATTTCTCTAGGTATATACAGTTCGCAAAACAAACTTAAAATAATAATACCACAAATAAATAAATAATCTCCTACTGTATGACACTGAACTGAATAATTATTGGCACCAATCTGGCTCCTAAAAATAAAGAAAATGTGGGTGTTAAACCTTCTGTTTCCTACTTGAACACACAACAGATATCATTGACTTCAAATTAACATAATCATTGAGGTATTCCAGATTTAAGTAAATAAAATTGGTTCATAATATCACAAATTTGATACACCATTATCTTTTTTTTTTCTAGTTTCATCTTTTATGAAATTATGGTGAATGAATAGTTGTTACCTTATAGGAAGATTCATATCCACCTTTACTTTTCATTTGGTTTTGAAGGGCAGCTAATTGATCACCTGGTAATTCAACATCCCTACTTCCTATATGACCTGTATGCTGGAAGTTGGTTGGATTACCTATCATTGACCTGAAATAAAAACACCATTTTGAGCAAATTGAGTGTACATCAAAATCAATACCACTGCCCAATGCCATGTCCTCAACAAATACTTGACTCCTGTGCCATATAAGGCAATATGAGGATTTACCTGTCTATTAGGTGTCTCCTTTTCTGGGGCCTAGGAATACAACAGCTGAACAAAGAAACTCTCAACTCACTGATAGCAGCCATTCCTGTTGGAATTAAAATTAATGTTCAATGTTCCTGGTAATTGCAATGTTTTACAAGGTATCAAAATATTAATTAATATGGTAAAAGATAAGATAAAATGAATTGATAATACTTTTATCACTCTGTCAAGGAAAATTATCTCTACATGCAAGTATAAGCTAATCGGAAAGATAATTCGAATTTTCTTTTATTAATAGAACACATGCAAACAAACAAAAAATATTCTGTGTGTAAAGTACTCACTTTTGGATCACGACCCGGGATCCTAAGAATTAATGCATTTGTATGTATTCCTTTTGTGCTGTTATAATTCGGCAGCATTAAAAGTAATAATGCAGTAGCCTTTCCTTTATTGTGCTTATTCAGAATCCAAGATATTTTTTATTCTTCTCACGTCCGCGATAACATCCGTCGACCATCGACCCGTCGTCAAATTGTCAAAACAACGTCAAAATAATGATTCTTCTTCTTCTGCATTTCTAAAACTGTCAATGAAGTCACTGATTGTCACTAACTCATACATATTTCTATGGGCTACTGGCTGGTGAGTTCTTTAGCCTTTGGTCCTCTAACACTATAAATTTATCTCGCTAAGATGTTCTCTTCCCTCAAAAGAAAAAAGTTGGAAAAAGGAAGGATCTTCCAATGATGAATTTAGATGTTTTCTTCTTTAGTATTTCTTTACAGTTTACAGTTTCCATTTCTTTCGCTTCTTTCTTGATAAAGATTTCATTGGAAGTGTGCAAGATGCAAATGATCTCTTGAAAATCTTGCGATTCTTGCGTCATACTTTATCCTAATAATTATTGATTGCAATCGCATTCTTTTTGGTTACTTTGGTGGGACTGGCAGCATATTGTAGAGCTTGTCTTGAGCAAACCTCGCCTACTTTCAAAGGCCCCATTCAGACGCAGGAAGTCTGTAATTTATTTCTGAATAACAGTAATTTGTTGTGAATAGACGTGAATAACGTGAAAATGGGCGATAAGTTGGAGGCTAAAAGCGAGTTACCAGCTACATATAAGGCAATACCAGAGAAAGACATGGAAGGTAGGTATTTGCATTTTTTTTACTCTTATTAGTCTTATTATACTGGTACTGGGACTACTTTCATGATTTTTTTATACAGAAGAAGCAGTTTCTCGACCGAAATCACTGCAGAAGTTGAGGTCAAGTGGTGAGGCTGATGGGGCTGATGAAAAGATGTTGCCTGAAGAAGAAAAAAAGGTGTCTCCAAATTCTGAGATTGATATCAAAGATGTAAAGATTACTCTGAGTGAAAAAAATGGAGATGCAAAACTTCACATTGGTATGTTATCTACTGTAATTCCTAATCAATAATTATTTTCATGAAATCAATTTTCCATGATCTTTCATGTTTTTTGTGGTACAGTATTAAAGTCATGATGTTACTCTTCCTACTTCCCTAAATATACAGTTTTATCCCTATTAAATATTTCACACTGCTCCATGAAATAAACCTTGTCATGCTATAGGTATGTAATAAAATGCAGACTTTGCAAAATTATAGTAGTATAAATAAAATATCAAGGCATGGAATGTTTACTGATATTTCATTTCCTGTTGAAGTGGCCAACAATGCAGTATCTTTAGTTCTGAATATTTTTCTAGTGCTAGTAAATCTGTTTGAAATGATGTCAGAAATTGATTTAGACATCCCAGATAGAGAAAAATCACATATTTCAGGTGAACCCACTATATCCTTTGGTGGTATGAATAAGGAGGAGCTGATGAAATATGCCAATGATCCATTCTGGGTGAGGCTACGCTGGTTCCTCTTCATTGGATTTTGGATACTCTGGGCTGCTATGCTGGTGGGGGCCATACTGATTATATATGCTGCTCCAAAGTGTGATCCACCACCACCAAGGACATGGTAAGTTAAAGAATATGGACTGCAACTTATTGTAGATAACAACATTGAATGAGCAACTGAAAGCTATTACCCAAATACTTCCTAGTACAGAAATATGTTTATGTACATTGAGTTATTTCCTTTCTACCTAGAGCACCTAGACAAAAAATCAAGGATGACTTTTTATTGCACAGTGAATCTCAATTAATGTCATTGGAATCTTAACAGAAAATGTTTCCTGAGTTTATTTATATTTTCAGTGCAGATGTTTGAAATATCTGATAATTATTGATAATCCTGTATACATAATGCAGTGTCTCATCATTTTCACATTTTTTTTTAAATGATGATGCCATATGTGTTATTTTAATTCATAGATGATTAAAGAATACATGTGAATTGATCAATGGTCTGTATTTTGTATATTTATTTCCTTCAAGGTTATATTAATTCTGGTGAGAATACTTTAAATATGTTGATATCTCCAGAATTCATCATTCTACCTAGTAAATAAATGAATGCTGTCTTTTTATTCATATTTACAAGTTTTCAATAATATTTCATTATTTTGGGATGCATAAAATTATCTATAATTATTTCATTCTTTTATTTGTTCAGTTTATTACTATCAACATTTTAATGAACTTGATTAGTCACCAATTTCATTTAGCCACAGTATATAACCTCTTATTAGCCATTGATAAACCAAAAGACAGGGTGAAAATGAATTAACATGTTACTGCTGATCTAACCAAAGAAAAATGACAACATTCCTCTCACTTTATGCATAATAAACACCCTTAATATTGTTGCTACTATTTATATTTTTAATATTTAGTTCACACCTAGCACCTAGTTCACACTATCAAAGTGTGTGTCAAAATTAGTGTACTTATCATGATTTGAAGTGAAATTTGTTTAATCAATTAAATGGAAACATTATATAATTCAAAATCGGACTATAAGTAACTATTAATTTCTGTTGATGAGTACTAATTTCTCTTATTAGGTGGCAAGAAGGTCCACTTACAGAGCTTAGTCCTGATACTCAACCAGAAGCATTACAGTTATTAGACAAAAATATCAAGGGTAAGTACATGCATAAAACATTGCTATTTCAACCATTGTCTCAACATGGTGTCAATTCCACATAAGGCTTTTGGAACACTGATGTACCAAAAAAAGATACAAAAAATCTACATGAGAGGGTGAAGAATTTGTTTTAAGTATTTTCATGAATATTTCATGACACATCAACAGGATTTGGCGAATATATTTTCCTATAATGTGACATAGGGAATTTTCAATTCTTATTTTGCATAAAAGCTACCAGCCGGAGAGGGTGAAGAATTATTATTTCATATTTTCTTGAATATTTCAAAAGTTGACACATTAACACAATTTCGCGAAGATATTTTCCTATAATGTGTCATAGGGAATTTGTAATTCTTATTTTGTATAAAAACTACCAGCCGGTGACGGTGAAGTTTTTTTTTTTTTTCATATTTCCTTGAATATTTCAAAAGGTGACACATAAACATGATTTGATGAAGATATTTTCCTAATAACCTTGAATATTTCAAAAGGTGACATATTAAACACGATTTGGTGAAGGTATTTCCCTATGTGATGTGATATAGGGATTTTTCATTTGCATAAAAGCTACCAGCCGGAGAGGGTGAAGAATTATTTATTCATATTTTCTTGAATATTTCATAAGGTGACACATTAACACGATTTGAGGAAGATATTTTCCTACAATGTGTCATAGCGAATTTGCAATTCTTATTTTGCATAAAAACTAGCAGCCGGAGAGGGTGAATATTTTTTTTTTGATATTTCCTTGAATATTTCAAAAGGTGTAACAATAACACAATTTGGCGAAGATAATCTCACCACCAAAAAAAAAAACAGCCACCAAAAAATTTCAATCCAATCCTAGATTCATGTTCCGGAATGTTAGCCTAACTATAAGTTTCCGTGAGAAACTGATGACTTTATCATTATACAGGGAAACACCAAAGTTACTATTTCGCTCTTCTTGAAGCTATCACATGAGGAAGCTACTGTGTTAGCGAAACATGTGTGTGTAAGAATTTTGTGGAAATCTTATCGTTTGTGAAGTGTTTACATTCGCAATGGATTGCCATCAAGTAACAGCCGAGTCAATTCAAAATCCCCTGAATATTTTGCAGGGTTCGGAGTGATAATTATCATCGATAATTATCAAGATAATTATCACTGACCTTGATAAATATCTTGATCGTATCCGACCGAACTCACCGAACACAAATATCCTCAAAATTTGTGTCAAAAAAACTGAAAACAAACGTGTTTGTTCGTATGTTAAATTAAAATTTAAAAATAATATACAAAAATGCCGAGAATTAAAGATTCCGTGTGGAGCCAATATGTGTGTATCAAAACAAAAAACAGTGGTATGTGGGCAAGGTGCCGGAAGTGCAAAAAGGAAATGCAAGGCATCCTTAATAGACTTAAAAAACATTCAAGTATTTGTAGTCCATCGACAGATACACCAACAGCGGCAGTATCTACTAACTTACAACCTGCAAATAATTCGTCTACGCCTGCAACTGCATCACAACCACAACAGTCACCAGCGACAGATTCCAGTAGACCAAACATAATTCATCAAACCAAGCTTGCAATTACAAGAAATTTTGAATTTATTTATTTTTTTATTTCATGTTTAGTTTTATTCATTTGCCTTTACCATTTTGGTAATTTTGCACTTATCATGCGATGGGTTTTTTTTCGAAAATTTTTTTTGGTACTTATGTATTTTTGTCTGAAAAACACGAATTCGATAATGAAAATGTGAACAAACCATTATTTATTAAGATATTTCACTATAAAGTTACAAATTTCACCTTCTTTTCCGCCTGTCTTTGGGTCGCATTTAGAACAATTTGCCCTTCTTTTTCCATCATTGGACAATTTATATATATCACACAATGTTGGACACATTTTTTTTGAGTCAACTAGAATAGTTATTTTTGTATCTAGGGCGCGAAATGCTACTTTGGTGATCAAGATCTGATTTTTTTAACGAGGCGTAGCCGAGTTAAAAAAATAGTCGAGATGACCAAAGTATTTCGCGCTCGAGTTGCAAACAACATTTTTTCTACAAACGTCAAAAAATCTGGTTCTAAAGTAAAAATATGCCCAGCTTGATATAAAAATTAGTGTTGAACTGGCTTAAAAGGCCTCCACCTATCCTCCCTATAGGTACGAACCATGTTCCACGAGCATAATAGGAATTTCCTTCCGTGCGCTCCAAGAGCTGAAAGAAAGTTATTGTTGAACATTCAGAAATAAATGATTTCGTGGATATTTGCTCGATTGAGGACCATAAAGTTGAAATATAAATATCTCATATATTTTACATAACAATGCGCGAAGTAGCTACTTCGCGCACTGTTTTACTTCGCGCATTGTTTTGTGCAAGGTATCATGGTATCGTAGGAAACTGAAAAAAAGTGTCACTTCGCAATTTGTTATCAATGCGCGAACCTTGTCATTTTTTGACGTTTGTAGAAAAATATAATTTTCTTGTGATTTATCCATGTTTAGTGAAAAGAAGGAAGAATATCATTTGAAATAATGGCGTGTGTGATGTCATTCCAAATTGACATTTGACATCTCCTATTTGGATTACCCATCGATTGAATGGCGGTCATCTGGTATGCTTGCTCACTAAATATCATCATATGTCCTGTTGAATTTTCTAGCTTAAAATGTGTCATTGAAGTACATCATGAGTATATAAAGTGTCCAATGACAAAATAAAAAGAGCAAGTACCTGTAAATGCATCCAACACAAGGGGGAAAAGAAGGCAAAATTTCGAACTTTTTCTTGGAATATCTTGATAAATAGTGGTTTGTTCACATTTTCATTATCAAATTCGTGTTTTTCAGACAAAAATACGTAAGTACCAAACAATATTTGAACTGAAAAAATAATTTGTAAGTAAAAATATAACGAAAATGAGTTGTCTGTCAGTATGAATAATTATCCGAAAATTATCCGATAATTATTAAAAAAAAAAATTATCTTGATAATTAGGAACCCTGAATATTTTGTTAAGGTTTGATTGTGACTTGGCCGGACGACGCCTATCAGTTGTTCGACGAGTCCCACGACACCGTCAAACTCATCAAGCAAGCGAAGGATGCCGGCACCAAAACGATCATAGACTTGGACCCTTCCACGTCTAACGTGTGGTTCGACGCCAGCGAGAATAACAACTCCATTTATCGCGACTACTATATCTGGAAGTTGCCGAAGAGTTCTGCGAACGGAGATCAGCCGCAACCACCGAATAACTGGGTATTTGTTGTTTTATCTTGTTTTTTCAGGTTGAAAACATACCGCTCGGAAACTATTTGCCGCACAGGTTTCAAAGAAAAATATGAATGATGAAAGTGGCCAAGAGAAATCTCTGGAAATTATTTTCAAGTTTCCAGGACAGCCCCTAGAGGGCGTAATTGCACTGACTTGTTTAATAAACGGGTTTTTATGAAAATTTGATATGTATCGAGACATATCAAAAACACTTTTTTCATATTCTCGAGTTCATTTCCAATCATTTGGATCAAAAAAAATAGCTCTTTTAAATGAAAGAGAGAGGGAAGGATGAATAGTACTTTGAAAAAACTTATTACTACAATTTGGTGTAACGGAATTCAACGATCTTTGAAGAGTTGTTTTGGTTCTTCCAGATGAATCCCCAATCAAGTCGATTTAAATCCTGTATAAAGCAAAATTATTTGGAAATGTGCTGCTCATGATCCTAGATCATCTCTGTAACTTTTGTCTATCTATATCAAACTGTAAAGCCGTTATCTCACTTTGCCACACTAATGACTCACCCTGTAGTTCGAAAATATATTTTTCTTCTGATTGCCCTAAAAATCCAAAAATATCCATAAACACCAATTCAGACTCAATATGAAAGATTGACTGGAGAAGTCTTCCTTCAAATGTTTAAAATTAGCGGCAAAGGCAAAGAAGTAGGCGCATACTGGTCAAAAATATTATTTTTGTGATTGCCATGAAAATTGGGCCTTTCCAGTCAATTCTAGAAAAAACATATCTCGAAATACGGCTCTGGAATACCTTGGAACGATTTTTTGAGATATTTTTTTGTATCAATTTATCCTATAAAAAATTATTGAAATCGCCAAAATGAATGAGCGAATTCTAATGATCAGACATGATTTCTGTTGGTTTATTATTCAAAATTGTTTGTGAAATTCCATTTTGAATGGAATTCATGACATTCAGTATCACATCCCTTCCACTCCTTCCAGTAAAGTACCTACTTTCAAGTTTAGGTACTCACCTATATATATGCCTACCTACCTATACCTACCTAACATGGAGAAAGGAACACATTTTTAATCAATCAATTCTAAATTGCGAGCTAAATTGCTTACTTGGTTCTATCTTCGATTGATTCTAGTACAAGCAGATTCAGTAGAGAAAAATGATAGAATGGGAGAGTCAAATTTGTAAAATTTCAATTATGACACCAATTCATATTGAACCAATGGGCGTGTACACCTTGGTAGAACTTTCAACTCAAACTATGTTTATAATGATCCTTTTATACATAAATAATGATTGACGACATAATTCGATCGAAAAATTAACTGGAATGTTTTATTTTTGGACATAAATAATAGTACCATCTGAAAACGGACCCTCTCTTATGACGTAGAAACCTCATCTCGCCATAGTTGAAAGAAAGTAACAAAAGCCCGACGGAGACTGAGGCAACTGATATATTAATTCTTTCAACTGTGATCTCTGTCTGGAATAGTCTTGTTTCAGTATTATAGGGTTTTGACGTCACATCATCGCCTCGTTTTCAGAGGTCCGAAAAATCGGGGATTTCAATAATTTTTTATAAAACGTAGGGAGCTCACAGCAAGAAACGGTTTGCGGTGGTGAGCTAGTTTCGGTGAGTTCTATCGAATAATGAAATAACAATTTTTTGTGATATAAGCCCATTGATTTCCCCCTATTTCAGGTTAGCCTCAACAACAAACCATCCTGGACGTACTCCCCAACGCGCAAGCAGTTCTACTATGCCCCACTGGATCGGCCCCTTCTGAATTTCCACAACCCGAACGTGACCAGAGAGTTCTCGCTCGTCATCGAAAAGTTCATTGATCTGGGCGTTTCGGGCGTACGCCTCAGGAACGCCCACGTCCTGCTGGTCGATCCCAAGTTCGAGGACGAAACGGACTTCTCCAATACTGCAGGTAATGTATTTTATCAAATCAAATCGAAACTGAGCTTTATTGTCCAAGAAACATTATTCCTATTGACAAAGTGTTAACTACCAAGTGGAAAGATCCAATATGTACATACAATTATGAATTCAAAGATATAATAGTTATTTATGTATCAAGGGCGTAAAGTAGGCGCTGAAGGCCATTACGCCATAAACAAATACTGTGACATTCTGCCTGCTACAATAATTGGAAGTAATGATGTGAAGGGGGGAACGTTCCCTTCGTGCTGTGGGGAACGTTCGCGAATGTTCGCGCAACATAAATCGATCGTACGCGCATGATAGAGCGTGCTTTAGCACGAACGAGAATTTTCAGCACGATCCCGACCAATCAGCGCTTCATCCGCTTGTATCGCATGTGAATCCCCTTGTTTTGTTTTGGTGGTTCGTTGAGGAGTGAAAGCACAGATGCAAAGGTAAGTGCGTGTCGCGTGTGGTTACAGCGAATTATTAGTGTTGTTTTTTTTTGTTTTTCAATATGCCCGGAAGAAAATGCGAGGCATTTGATTTCTTTCTTCATAAAAAACGTAATAGTAAAGACGCATGCCACACAAATGGCAAATCATCTGATAAAATTTGTGAAATGTCCCGAGTCGGTAAGGAATGAATTGATACTGAAAAACAATAAAATTCCTTTCAAAGATTCTCAAAAAGGAAACATCAAAATCAACGGAGCTGATTAAACTTCAATGTTTGGAATCCTCTACTCCTTCAGAGACTTCCCCTTCTGGTTTAGATCTTGGTAATCAGGTTCAGGGTCCGTCATCAAAAAATTCTGAATTTGAGAAGTCTGAGACTGATGAGTCTGAAGAGGATACCAGGTCCTACGGTGTCTACGATGCGGATATACCAGAAAGTTTCGAAGGGGATATTGAAGATTTGGAGTAGATGAAGTAGAGTAGGTTAATAGCTAGTTTATAGGTGAAACATATTACTTCTCAACCTAACATGGTATTTTTAGTTCATTTTTATATCCAATTGTTACTTGAGTTTTTGCTATTTTTCTACTTGATAAAGGTTTTTTATTATGTTATAGTATAGAAGTTAATCCTTACTATTACTGTATTATTTGTAACACAGAATATTGATACAGCGTGTCATTTTTTTATGGAGCATTAGGGGAATTTTAAGCATTTTCAGCAATTTGAGAATTTTGAGCATTTTCAGAAAGAACCACGAAAAGTATGTTTTTGGATACTTTACTACACCCCAAACATAAATTCCCGTTTTTTTTTCGTTTATGCTTGTTTATTCTCGTTCATGCTCGTTCGTGCTCGGGGAACGTTCTCCAAAAATACTTTCTCGAGAATTTTACATCACTAAATTTGGAAGCACTTCTGAACTTATCAGCTCTCAAAACACACATGTACAAAAACTAACAAAATAGTTATCTTCCGCAAAATATAATCAGCAGAAGAATGATGTAGATTATCTGAGGAATCATTATTATTGAACAAGTATTATGAAAACTCAAAATTGAAACAACTCTGCAAAACGTGAGTGACAATGAACAATGTCAGTTGTCATCAGGATTAGGTGACAAGCCGAACTTACCTGGTAGTACTCAATTAAATTTTTCATCGGATTGAAATTGTGAACAGTCCAAATACAAAATAGTGGCACAGTATTCATGTACGTTCACAATCCGTACAAAACATGTGAAATATCTAGTATAATCTCGATTAAAATAGTTGTATACTTAACTCTTTTGAAAATCTGGCAACGTTTTAGGACAAGGAACCTCAAAACTGAGCCTGCGCACATCATGAAACACGCATTTCGCTGTGAAACTTGATGGGAATTGGCATTCTAGTGTATATGATTTCTATGATAATAGGTGAGTTAATCACGGTGTCAGGCGAGATGGTGTGATGTTGTTTGGTGTTGTGTGAAAGTCACGTGATTTTGGTGTCATTTGCTCATAGCACTGCACGGAAAATAAACGAAAGCGCATTGGCGTCATGGTGCCCGTCTGATAGACAATAACAACGAACATGGGATGTTGAATTATTTTGTAAATATGGTAAATTTCACTGTTTTGCTGAATTCATCAACTGATGGATCTTCATCAAATGATGGATTGTTCAACGAAACATATACGAGTATTATCTTTACCCACGTGAACATATAGTCTCGATGGTAATGGTATTATTCAGATTTATCAATACACGGCATACACGCGAAGTATGTAAAAATCATCGAGAATAGGGCATCCAGAAATATCAGTTGAAGAAAGCTGCTATCTCCATGTGGTATTTAGCGAATATTGAAAGTTTCAGGTGATGTATATTGTATAGTGATGTGAATCACCTGCACCTCATATGATATCTACTAACATTGTGAATAAAATTATGTTGGACCTTTTTTCATTTGCTTCATTTTATTTTCTTCCAAGTTGAATAACAATCTACAGAAAAATAATTAGCTGTTCACTGAACAAGATAATTAATTTTTCACATTTGTATACTTATTATAACTGGACTTCTGGATCTCCTGTAGCTTTTATAAAGGAATAATGCATATTTTTAGTATATTCGCAGGAAATGATAATGGGCACTTTGATTAGTATCGGTTTAAACTTCAAATGAGTCTTGTCAATAAAATTTGGGGTTAAAATGTTTGGTGTTTCAATGTCCACAGACGAAAACTAAGGAGTAAAGAGTGTGAACACTAATCGTACCTATTTATCTATTCAGAACTTTGAATAGGGCACCCTGCACTTACACCTAATCATTTAACAAACGGAACGGTGAACACTGTTAAAAGTGTAGACACTTTCCCATTTCCGAACTCAGCTAACACATGATAATCAAAGACAAAAAACTTTCAGTGCGGAAAACGTTTGGCCTAGTGCGACGAGTGGATTTGAGATATTTCTTAGAAAACCTCATAATACAAAATGTCTAACACTTGGAAATATGGTCGGTTGATTGAACGAGTCCATAGTAGGCTAGTTTTTTACAAATGTATGATATGGAGCTCCCAAGTAATCTTCTAGTCAAAGAAGATGCGAAGAAACGCAGTGGATGAACGTTGTCCCTTACTTTCACCATTTATCTGAATTAGACCTTTTTTACCATCATCGCAGGACTGATCCACACCCAGCACGGCTTCTACTTGCACTCCAAAACCGAGAACGCCCCCGACCTGGGGCGGCTCCTCTCCGGCTGGCGATCTATCGTCGCCAACAAAACCGCCGACGGTCTGCTGATGGTGGCCGAAGAACTGGGCAAGGTAGATAGATGAATGAATAAATTGAGCTTTTATTTGTTGGTAGGTAATGCATTTGTCTTTGAAAAAAATGAAGAGATGAAATTTTTTTCAAAGCCTCCTTGATGGTGGTGGAATAACTCGAACCATGATGTATTCTTAATTTTTGACTCACCCTGTGTGTTGATTGAGTGATGGCATAGAAAGTGCTCACACCCTATACGAAAGAGGCTTCTTTTGCGACCATTTTGTTTTTTTATTCATTGATTTTTCTCTAAAATTTTCCGAATTACAGCTTTTTTTGCTGAATCCTTGCAGATTACCAACTTCCTGAATTTATCGAGAAACAATTTTCTAATGAAATAAACTGATACCAATAATTTTAAAAAACATTTTTATTAAACACAAAATTATAAATTGGGATGACTGCTTAATACCGTGTATTGCCTCCTCCAGCAACTCTAAGAACTTCTAATCTACGAGGCATACTGGAAATTAAGCTCATCGTTTCCATTGGTATACGATCCCATTCTTCCACTAATGCATCTGCCATTTCTGCGAGACTTTCCGGAGACCTCTCGCGAGAACGTACCCTTCTCCCTAATTCATCCCACAAATGTTCTAAAGGATTCATATCGGGGCTTCTCGCAGGCCATTGTAATGTGGTAATACTAGTAGCTTCTACGAAGTTTCGCACTATTGCTGCGGTGTGTGGTCGGGCATTATCCTGCATCAATATAAAATTATTGCCCACTAACTCTGCATAAATTTGGGCATTCATCGACTGCCTCACCGGAAAAACATGAAGGGGTGTCTTTCCATTCATTGAAATCCCTCCCCACACCATAACGGACCCACCATTAAAACTTTCGCATTATGTTATTAAATTTTGATTAAACCGTTCACCAGTTCTTCTCCACACTCTTTTTCTTCCATCCACCATGTTAAGGCAAAACCTTGAATCATCCGTAAACAAGACATTCGACCATTCAGGAATATTCCACTGTCCATAATTTTCAACAAAATTTCTTCTAGCAGCACGATGTTCGGGCAATAATTTGTGACCTTTTGCAGGTCTCCTAGCTTTTGAATTAACTTCTTTTAGACGTCTACATACCGTCTGCTTACTTACTGCAACATCACGAATTTGGTATATGATCGATTCCGTAAAATCTGCAATCTCAAGAAGCGATCATCTCTTGGAGAAGTTTTTCGGGGGCGACCAGAACCGACCCTCTGAGCGGTGCTTCCTGTTTGTTCGTACTTGCGGATTGCTCTACGAGCAGTTGCTTCATGAACTCCCACTGCACGAGCGGCGTAACGTTTACTACGCCCATCGTTTACTAACGCAACTAATCTTGCTACTTGTTCAGGATTTATTTGAGGCATTTTATGTAATTTTAGTCAATAAAACAAGACACTCAATTAATGACACAACGACAAATGGTCAAATATGGAGGCATACAACAAATTAGTTGCTATGGCAACGGCATTTGTATTTTTAAAGACAATGTGATCCTACCAGAGTACAACCCAATCAATTTTGAGTACTCTGATCCTTCAATAAATTTAGTTTGTGGGATAAGCGTAAGGTATCAGCAAAAAAGCTGTAATTCGGAAAATTTTAGAGATAAATCAATGAATAAAAAAACAAAATGCTCGCAAAAGAAGCCTCTTTCGTATAGGGTGTAAGCGCTTTGTATACCATTACTCAATTAACACACAGGGTGAGTAAAAAATTAAGAATGAATCATGGTTCGAGTAATTCCACCACCATCAAGGAGGCTTTGAAAAAATATTCACCTCTTTATTTTTTTTTTAAAGACAAATGCATTACCTACCAACAAATAAAAAAAATCGGCCTACTATTTTTTTTTTTTTTCAAGAAGATAGGTCAAATATCAAGTGCGTCATTTTTTTTGGAACTGAGTGTACTTTCCTGAACCACTTATCTATTCAGGTACTATTTATATTTGAAAATCGATGCTTGGTTGAGATATTCCACAATAGGAATGGCCGCTACCTGACGGTACTGCTTACCTAGGTAGTTTCGCACGGTAAGCGCTTTTTAGTTTCAAAGGAACTAAAGTCTGGATGTTTCAATTTGGAAAAGTTAATTAGTATTAAAGATCTTGAAATGATCGCGCAATGATGTTATTCCATAGGCATTTGCCCTATTTGACAGTTTTGAGGTTGAAAAATGTGTTATTGTATTTTTCTAGGTGCAGTCCTACAAGGTGGACGACAGACTGGCGGTCGACTTACCGTTGAAGGCGCACATGTTCGATCGTATGAACGTCAGCGAAATTGTCAACAATCTGAATCACACTTTCAATGTGGACAATATCGAATGGCCCTTGTGGAAGGTAAGAGGATTCTTGTTACCTACGTAATTTTGTCTGAAAAACACTAATTTCATGATGAAAATGTGAAAAAAACACTATTTGAGGATATATTTCTCGGAAAAGTTCGAAATGTTTCCTTTTTCCGTCTGTCTTCCTATACATTTACAGCTATTTTCTCATTGAACACTTTATATACTGAAGATGCCACATTTTATTCATGGAAATCAACAAGAGGTAATAAAAAAATAATATGGAGGCATTTACTCTCGAGGCCGATAGTGATTCGCTATTTATGTATTGCAATAAAAATAATACAGTACCTTAAGTGCTAGGTTTTCATTTGAAATAACCATGATGGGTGTGTTTGGTATTCATAATTTCGATTCCTATGCTCAAGTATCATTTGCAATATTGATTTTGTTTTTATTAATTTCACGTTTCAAATAACTAGATATTATTATAATGTTCATATATTGGCATGTTCCGATATTGCTGAAATCACTGGCCACAGTAAGCAATTTAGGAACACTAAACAGTTGCTTTGAATTTTCATGGAATTTTCATTTCATTTCGGAACGATTTTGGCAGCAAATCATTACTATAAACTATGATCTTTTGATCTATGTTTTGTTTTGTTGGTTTTTAGTTTCATCATTCTTATTATTATCTGCTCGTTGAAATTATGGATGGAGTGATTAATCATATTATCTTAGAAGACATATTTCCCGAAAGTGATTCTGTTTCATCAGAAAAACCAAGCTCTAGTACCTCTAGTGAAGAAATGAAGCATAGCTGAGAAATAGTTGATAACAAAAGTGGGAATAACAAACCATCTTATAGATTTGTGGCAGTTTCAGTATCTACTGCCTCTGTGAGATCTCCCAGTTCAAATTAATACATTTTCCCGAAATTTTGAATTGACTCGGCCGGTAATTGATGGAAATCCCAACCGTTCAAACGCTTAACCTAACATTTTGTGAATACTGCAACTACATCACCATTTCTCCACCAATGGCCAACAGTAAACTTCTAGCCTCTCAACAGGGTCCCTTGCAATATGCCGCGACAACGATGCTAGTAAATTTCATTAAAATCGGAACAATAAAATATACTGGGCAGTACCTACTGTTCAAGAATATCTGAACATGCGCCAAGTATGTACATTGTTCAGTAATGGAAGTTTTCCGTGAATAAATGAATTTGAAAAAAAATCGTGATCTATTGAATAAACATTGGAGTCTTGGAATTACAACAAGCCAGTTTATAGGCGAATCATGCTAAGGAGTACGCCCTCTACCGTTGTCTAATATAACTAACGTATGGGCCATTGATTGCTTTGTTTACATTAGTTTGCATGTATTTTGTATGAGAAGTAGTTGTATTTTAATTGTCTATAATTTTGTTTGAGAACTTCTATAAATGTTTAAAAACATGAGTCATTATTGTTGTGTACTTCCTTGTTCATCTTGAGCAAAAAAATCCCGAGTATAGCTTTCATTCCTTTCAAAAATCAGGACAGTCTAAATTTTTATTTGAAACTAATAATTTGGGAAACAAGGAAGTGATCGGTAGGAGAAAGGTGTGGATTCATAACTTGAAGATTGGGCAGTGTCTAAATATAATGAGATATTGTTTTTTACACTTCACTGAAAATGTACTCATATAGGTATATATTCGAATGTATGTCTATTATGAAAATAATACCTACATCTTGAGGTGATGGTGAAAAAACAAACACATTTTGAACTGATTATATCTTTACTCATGAACAGTAGAATTTTTAGACAGTAAAGAATTTTATCAATCAGGGTTTTGATGATTATGTTGTAAAAAGTCAAGTAGAAACTGTATACCTAAATTCACCTTTGAAAGAACATTTTATTCCCAAAAAGTATAATGGATTTTCTTTTAAAAATATCATGCTATCAGGGGAATATCCCAGCCATATATTCGAATTGGAAATCAACATCCCACACAGGTTTTCATGAGAATTCTTGTTCAATAATGATAAAAACTAACAGCTTATGTATGTTGGTATATATGAAGTTCAACTAGAGGTAGGGAGGTTATCTAATGTTGAACAGAGATAATATAGTTCTCAATCAAAACAAAATAGACCGCTGGAAAATACAAAGTTCCAAAAAAAGACAAATAACAAAGCAGAACGTTCGAAAACTCAAAACGAAATGAACATAAACACCATTACCAAACAATATAAACAATCCGCCAATGGCCCATAGAGTGGTACCGACATTCGCCGTTCTGGCGCTACGATCTTAATCTCAGTCGCCTATAATACAGTCACTCTTTTTTGATAAAATGGATAGAAAACCTTTTGTTTTTGTATTCCAGGTGAATTCCTCATCTGATGTGCTCGACATAGTAACATATTTGCTTCCCGGAGCGAGTCTGGTGCATCAGAATGCCACGCTCGACGCTCAGCTTCTCAAGATCAGGGAATCTCCTTCTATAATGAGAGGCATCTGCAGTCTACACAGTCTCAACAACAACACCGTGTTTGCGTTTATCAGGTAAATATTCGATGAAATGATTTTGAAAGTTTATTGGTTTATATCTGTGTTATTTTTTCATGCTCTCATTTGTGTGATGTAGACAAAGGTGAGTTATTACAGAAAATGTTTTCTGCAACTATCTTAGAAGTGATCACCATGCATAATGAACGAGGATAATGTGGGCTTCATACTGAGTACTATTCACAGTAACAAGATGAACCATCCTTGAGAGAGCAATGAAGCCAAAAATTATTTATTATTATATATTATTATTATTTATTCAGTTAGTGGCGTTATCTATGAGCGATAAAGTGAACTTTATTTTGTTGAGTAGAGAAGGGTTGAGATCGGTAATGCAGAATATATTCTAAGCTTATTTTTAAATGTTTTTATCCCAGAAGAATTGTCGCATCACGGCCAGATTAAAAAATTCTAATTTGAAAGCCTTCAGAACATCAAAGTTAGTGATTTTACTGCTTCAGAAGGAAGGATATTCCTAGATAGTTCAGCATAGATAGTTGGACTCCAACAGATTCCGAGAAATTAGACAACTGGGCCATATGCTTCTATCGTCGCCTACGACCCAGTCAAGAACTAAGGCCAAATTGCCTCAACATTTTACATGGAGGTGGATCATCTTATTATTGTGAGACCATAATCAGCTCCATAGGACAGATAGTTTTCGAGATATCGGCGCTCAAAGTCAGCTATTCGCTTTTATTGCCAATAGGAGCACTCCGGTAGGCTACTACGTCTCCATTTTCCAAAATTTCCCGATTTCCACCACAGATTCGTACATTTCGACATCGAATTAGTCTATGTGAATTTTTTCAGATTTCTAATAGGCCAAATAAAAATTTTCATTTTCCGACCTAATACTTCAGTACGATATAGTCACCGAGCCATCTTCGGACGGCCAAAAGTGCCAGTAAACGGCAAAAATCCACGCGAATTATCGCTTTTCCAGTAGGAAATGACCCGCTGAATCGAATGAGACCATGATCAGCTCCATAGGACAGATAGTTTTCGAGATATCGGCGCTCGAAGTCAGCTATTCGCTTTTAGTGCCAATAGGAGCACTCCGGTAGGCTACTACGTCTCCATTTTCCAAAATTTCCCGATTTCCACCACCGATTCGTTCATTTCGACATCGAATTAGTCTATGTGAATTTTTTCAGATTTTTAATAGGCCAAATAAAAATTTTCATTTTCCGACCTAATACTTCAGTACGATATAGTCACCGAGCCATCTTCGGACGGCCAAAAGTGCCAGTAAAGAGATATCGGCGATCAAAGTCAGCTATTCGCTTTTATTGCCAATAGGAGCACTCCGGTAGGCTACTACGTCTCCATTTTCCAAAATTTCCCGATTTCCACCACAGATACGTTGATTTCGACATCGAATTAGTCTATGTGAATTTTTTCAGATTTTTAATAGGTCAAATAAAAATTTTCATTTTCCGACCTAATACTTCAGTACGATATAGTCACCGAGCCTTCTTCGGACGGCCAAAAGTGCCAGTAAACGGCAAAAATCCACGCGAATTATCGCTTCTCCAGTAGGAAATGACACGCTGAATCGAATAAGACCATTATCAGCTCCATAGGATAGATTGTTTTCGAGATATCGGCGCTCAAAGTCAATAGGAGCACTCCGGTAGGCTGACCCGTTGAATCGAATGAGACCATGATTAGCTCCATAGGACAGATAGTTTTCGAGATATCGGCGCTCGAAGTCAGCTATTCGCTTTTAGTGCCAATAGGAGCACTCCGGTAGGCTACTACGTCTCCATTTTCCAAAATTTCCCGATTTCCACCACAGATACGTTGATTTCGACATCGAATTAGTCTATGTGAATTTTTACAGATTTTTAATAGGCCAAATAAAAATTTTCATTTTCCGACCTACTACTTCAGTACGATATAGTCACCGAGCCATCTTCGGACGGCCAAAAGTGCCAGTAAACGGCAAAAATCCACGCGAATTATCGCTTTTCCAGTAGGAAATGACCCGCTGAATCGAATGAGACCATGATCAGCTCCATAGGACAGATAGTTTTCGAGATATCGGCGCTCGAAGTCAGCTATTCGCTCTTAGTGCCAATAGGAGCACTCCGGTAGGCTACTACGTCTCCATTTTCCAAAATTTCCCGATTTCCACCACCGATTCGTTCATTTCGACATCGAATTAGTCTATGTGAATTTTTTCAGATTTTTAATAGGCCAAATAAAAATTTTCATTTTCCGACCTAATACTTCAGTACGATATAGTCACCGAGCCATCTTCGGACGGCCAAAAGTGCCAGTAAACGGCAAAAATCCACGCGAATTATCGCTTCTCCAGTAGGAAATGACACGCTGAATCGAATGAGACCATTATCAGCTCCATAGGACAGATAGTTTTCGAGATATCGGCGCTCAAAGTCAGCTATTCGCTTTTATTGCCAATAGGAGCACTCCGGTAGGCTACTACGTCTCCATTTTCCAAAATTTCCCGATTTCCACCACAGATACGTTGATTTCGACATCAAATTAGTCTATGAGAATTTTTTCAGATTTTTAATAGGTCAAATAAAAATTTTCATTTTCCGACCTAATACTTCAGTACGATATAGTCACCGAGCCATCTTCGGACGGCCAAAAGTGCCAGTAAACGGCAAAAATCCACGCGAATTATCGCTTTTCCAGTAGGAAATGACCCGCTGAATCGAATGAGACCATGATCAGCTCCATAGGACAGATAGTTTTCGAGATATCGGCGCTCGAAGTCAGCTATTCGCTTTTAGTGCCAATAGGAGCACTCCGGTAGGCTACTACATCTCCATTTTCCAGAATTTCCCGATTTCCACCACAGATTCGTTCATTTCGACATCGAATTAGTCTATGTGAATTTTTTCAGATATTTAATAGGTCAAATAAAAATTTTCATTTTCCGACCTAAGACTTCAGTACGATATAGTCACCAAGCCATCTTCGGACGGCCAAAAGTGCCAGTAAACGGCAAAAATCCACGCGAATTATCGCTTTTCCAGTAGGAAATGACCCGCTGAATCGAATGAGACCATGATCAGCTCCATAGGACAGATAGTTTTCGAGATATCGGCGCTCAAAGTCAGCTATTCGCTTTTATTGCCAATAGGAGCACTCCGGTAGGCTACTACGTCTCCATTTTCCAAAATTTCCCGATTTCCACCAGAGATACGTTGATTTCGACATCGAATTAGTCTATGTGAATTTTTTCAGATTTTTAATAGGTCAAATAAAAATTTTGATTTTCCGACCTAATACTTCAGTACGATATAGTCACCGAGCCTTCTTCGGACGGCCAAAAGTGCCAGTAAACGGCAAAAATCCACGCGAATTATCGCTTCTCCAGTAGGAAATGACACGCTGAATCGAATAAGACCATTATCAGCTCCATAGGATAGATTGTTTTCGAGATATCGGCGCTCAAAGTCAATAGGAGCACTCCGGTAGGCTACTACGTCTCCATTTTCCGAAATTTCCCGATTTCCACCACAGATACGTTGATTTCGACATCGAATTAGTCTATGTGAATTTTTTCAGATTTTTAATAGGTCAAATAAAAATTTTCATTTTCCGACCTAATACTTCAGTACGATATAGTCACCGAGCCTTCTTCGGACGGCCAAAAGTGCCAGTAAACGGCAAAAATCCACGCGAATTATCGCTTCTCCAGTAGGAAATGACACGCTGAATCGAATAAGACCATTATCAGCTCCATAGGATAGATTGTTTTCGAGATATCGGCGCTCAAAGTCAATAGGAGCACTCCGGTAGGCTGACCCGTTGAATCGAATGAGACCATGATTAGCTCCATAGGACAGATAGTTTTCGAGATATCGGCGCTCGAAGTCAGCTATTCGCTTTTAGTGCCAATAGGAGCACTCCGGTAGGCTACTACGTCTCCATTTTCCAAAATTTCCCGATTTCCACCACAGATACGTTGATTTCGACATCGAATTAGTCTATGTGAATTTTTACAGATTTTTAATAGGCCAAATAAAAATTTTCATTTTCCGACCTACTACTTCAGTACGATATAGTCACCGAGCCATCTTCGGACGGCCAAAAGTGCCAGTAAACGGCAAAAATCCACGCGAATTATCGCTTTTCCAGTAGGAAATGACCCGCTGAATCGAATGAGACCATGATCAGCTCCATAGGACAGATAGTTTTCGAGATATCGGCGCTCGAAGTCAGCTATTCGCTCTTAGTGCCAATAGGAGCACTCCGGTAGGCTACTACGTCTCCATTTTCCAAAATTTCCCGATTTCCACCACCGATTCGTTCATTTCGACATCGAATTAGTCTATGTGAATTTTTTCAGATTTTTAATAGGCCAAATAAAAATTTTCATTTTCCGACCTAATACTTCAGTACGATATAGTCACCGAGCCATCTTCGGACGGCCAAAAGTGCCAGTAAACGGCAAAAATCCACGCGAATTATCGCTTCTCCAGTAGGAAATGACACGCTGAATCGAATGAGACCATTATCAGCTCCATAGGACAGATAGTTTTCGAGATATCGGCGCTCAAAGTCAGCTATTCGCTTTTATTGCCAATAGGAGCACTCCGGTAGGCTACTACGTCTCCATTTTCCAAAATTTCCCGATTTCCACCACAGATACGTTGATTTCGACATCAAATTAGTCTATGAGAATTTTTTCAGATTTTTAATAGGTCAAATAAAAATTTTCATTTTCCGACCTAATACTTCAGTACGATATAGTCACCGAGCCATCTTCGGACGGCCAAAAGTGCCAGTAAACGGCAAAAATCCACGCGAATTATCGCTTTTCCAGTAGGAAATGACCCGCTGAATCGAATGAGACCATGATCAGCTCCATAGGACAGATAGTTTTCGAGATATCGGCGCTCGAAGTCAGCTATTCGCTTTTAGTGCCAATAGGAGCACTCCGGTAGGCTACTACATCTCCATTTTCCAGAATTTCCCGATTTCCACCACAGATTCGTTCATTTCGACATCGAATT